CTCACCCATACAAACTCACAGGAAGCTACAGCACACGATATTTGATGTATCAACCTCCAAAGCGGAATAATATCTGGAGTCAAACTATAAGGATCACCCTGTAGTGCTGTGTAGAGAGAATACGAATCACTAACAAACAGGACTGTGCTGGTAACATCCACCTTCTGTTGAATGAAGTATTTGGCACAATTCTGAACTGCTAGAATCTCTGCAGAGTATGATGAGGCTAAAGTTCCTGCAGGAATTCTATCCTTCCACACAGGTTCCAATAAAGGGAAACTCATATCATCAATAGTGTCGAACGAATATCTCCAAACCGCACCACCAGCTCCTCCATGGCCCGATTCAGCATCTACTGATCCATCAGACCAAGCCTCCCAACCGATATTCGCATACTCTTTCATCCGGTTCCTCACTCTATCGAGTAAGGATAGAGCTTTGTTCCTTCTCAATATATCATTATCCGCACGTGAACATGATGTAGCCGAGAAAACTACCCTTATAAACATCCACGGAGCAATCCTCGATGGCAATGGAAGTATCAGTCTGATACTTCCATTGCCATTCCATCCATTTCCATTTCCATTGTCTGATACTATCAGATGATACATGCTCCTAGGAAGGAATTCTTCTGATAGTTCTCGCCAACCTCTCCTGAGGAGAGTCTCCTCTTCAGCCGCTTCTTCTTCTTCTTCTCAGCTTGGTGTAAAAGAGCTTGCTTCGCTGGAGATGACTGAGAGTGTTGGAGTGCTGAATGTGCTAAGTGAGCTGCTCGGCGAGATACTTTTCTTGCTAAGTCTTCCCAGCCCACGATCTCAGGCAATTTACTAACCTTCGTCATCTTCAAGCAGCCCGATATGACTCGGAGTATCGCATTATACCCAGTCTGAAGTTTAGAGAAGCTCCTCTTATTGCCCACAACGCCATAGAATCCCGGTGACGCATACAAAGCGCTGGACATGATAAATTGGTCTGCCAGCTGCTTTATAGCATTATTTCCGGTACCCCACGATCTAGAAGTTATATGATTCAGAACTTTTACGCGAGCATAGACCTTCTTCTGCCATATATCGCAATGTTTTGCGTACGTAAGAGCCTCATCAACGTGAAGACCGAGCATACGTTGATCATGTGTACGCGGTGCTAGTTCGGGACCAATATATAAGTCTACATCTTTATTACGAATACGATAATTAGTTGAAAAAACAACTAAGGCGGATTTATTTGCATTCAGTTTGATAGAAGAAGTAGTGAAGAAGTCATGAGCACCGTCGAGCAGTTTTTGCATCAAAAAGAGCTTATTATCAAAATCCGAAGTCTTCACCGACATTGTAATACACACATCATCCGCTAAACAAAAGGTACGGAAAAACACACCGTCAACCTCTGCATCCCATAAGTAGGATATCAAAGGGGACATATATGCGAGCCATAATACAGGACTGCAAGAGCATCCTTGAGGCACTCCCCTTCGTATTATTCTTTTGCTGGAGCAAGAAGTACCCCATAATGTATGTACGATCCTACCCTTGATGAAATCCCTCAACCACCTCCATAATCTAGGAGGAGTAGCGATACTGCCTAACCGAGCCAAAAGTATATCATGTCGTACAAAATCGTATGCAGAGGTAGCATCTAGAAAAACCGTAACCACTGCTCTATTCATCTGAACTTCATCCTCCAGATATTGGGAAAAAGCACACGCTTGTTGCTCGGCAGACATACCCCTCCTAAAACCCGATTGCTCAGGTTGGATTGAGCCAGAGCAAAATTCGATAAAATGTGTGATCCTCCTTGCCTTGAGTCTTACTTGAAGAGGCAATACTCGCACCTGCTCCCCTTGGGTCTCTCGGACAGACTCCCTCCTGCAGCAGCAGAGGTCGTGGTTTTAGGGAAACCCAGGGGGTATCCCTATCCTCCTCAGGATTCTGATCTAGAGCCACCGGCTAACTAGGGGAACTCGCAGCTCTCAAGTGACGGTCACTTGGTCACTTAGTGCCACTAAGTTAGTGGCTAGAGAGAAGCTCCCAAAGAGACCCCCCCAGCAGAGTCATTTAGGAGCCACTGGAGATCCAGTCGTAGACGTGCTTTCCATTCTTGCTTGAGGCGACCCGCGATCCAACACTGCTTAATCGGTACTCAAGCGGAGTCGATCGACTCCTTTAACTCGCAGACTAGGCCTCTTTTTCTCTTAGCAAAGAACACCCCCCTCGCTAGGCCACATTTCGACAGATCTGGAGATACCAGCCTGACCGCGGGTGAATAATTTTTTTAAACACTTTCATTTCCAACATATGAGTAATCTGAACACATGTGTAGTTATTGTTACCACAAAGTGGTAGTTTGTAACACTCTGGAAAGCGTGGAGTTATTTAAACACTTTCATTTTCAACACGTCCAGGTGTTGAAATTATCCACAATAGTAGTGGTCATTTTCAACACATGCAGGTGTTGAAAATACACACATTACCAGTGGTAACTTTAAGCACATGCAGTATTCAGCATGCTAGCTGGCTGGCATGACCGTATTCAATCTTTTAGATAATGCAGAATATGTCGTCAAAGAAGTGAACGCAGGAGTTAAGATATCTGAAACATTGCTTGGGAAGTTCAGACACATCAGGAAGACTACGGGCACACGAGACAAACCAGGGGTACTTGGATACTATTAGATACTGTTAATAGGATACGATTAGTGCGGTAATATCATACTAGGGTCGTTATTTCTGTGGTACAAGACGTGTGAAATTGATCCGGAAGGAGCCACTTAGTCGAACAGTAACTCAGTTACTGTAACTGATGAGTATGATTCGTACTGTACGAAGGTTTGATATAATAACCGGTCTATGATAGACCGTCTATCCCTAATTATTACATTAGAAGTGCTGTATATCTAGAGTGTTGGTTTTGCCGAGCTGTGCTGTGGAGAAGTTGGACTCGTGGAACTCGCGCTAGTTTGTGGTGGCTGGTCAATGTCAAAGTCATCATGAATAATCTCTGGTTGACTTCTCGAACTCGCGCTAGCTTGCGGTGGCGGGTCCAAGAAGGTTGGGTGCACATCGAGTGCCTTAGACTTCTTGAAGGAAGTCGAACGGTCTCTTTCGTCCGTGGACAATCTTGGCTGATGTATCTGGCGTGGAACGAACATTGAGCCCGATACGGGTGAGAGGTTTCGTACCGCGAGGTGCAACCGGAAAAACAACCGGCTGGCCGTACTGTGGTTTGTTTAATTTCTGCTCTTTCTCTCACTTCCCTCATCACGAGGCAGGCAGGATAGCATTCCCCCGACTGGCAGTACATTGAGAGAATGCATGTCCAGTGGACATTGTCCACATACCGGGCGAATTCCACAGCGTACGGATAAACTTGACTTCGTAGATTGAACAGACTTGTCGCAACCAGTCCTCAACGCTTCTCTTACCTCTACATCCTCAAGAAACTACCGTCGCTGCATCAAGAGTTCTCGACGGACCGTCCGTCACGGACGGGATGAGCTCGTGACATAATAATGCTGCCCAGGAGTCACACAGCGAGCAAGGCCAACGTCACAATTATTGGCATTGGCAAAGGATGTGGGCTGAGGACCCATGTGGCAAGTCTTGCTGAAGAAGGCGTTTGTAGGAGCTAGACATTGTGAGCAATAGGTCAAATAATTCTCCTCCGCTGTCGATGCGGCCGTCTTCTAAGCTGCCCGTACGGATGGCACTGCCATCATGGCAGCATTGAAACCTTCCGGAATATTATTTTCGAGTCTCACACAGACAAAACGATCACAGCACATAGGAAGAAGGTCTGACGCCCCGAATAGGCAGATGTCATAGGATGTTTTCATGTACTTGCGAACGACTTTGGGTACTTTAGCATCCGTAATGATCGCTCCGAGCGATCCCCAGTGGGAACTGGACTTGAAAATCTCAAATTGCGATATATATCAACTCTTTCCGATGAATGCAGTTCGAGAACGAGTTCTGAAAACAGGTTAGGACTGCTGAACTATCCTTCTGATTATAGTAAATGCTGAAAGCAGTGGAGTTTCGCCCGTTCTTCGTGAAGTGGCGTCATACCCCGTGAAAAACGCGATATTCGCGATATGTACTAGTCATGAAATATATTCTTCACTAGCGTTCTTCATATCACGGGTGAAATTCCAGTTGAAGAATCCAGTAATAGAAATATTCTCGAAGAATTGGGTGCTTCCAGTTTTGTGGGTACGAAGCTTAGATGCTTCCGCTCGACTGGATGCACTCCAACTGCTCTATACGCGCCTCGCAGATCAACCTTCCGGTCTTTGAATTCTTCAGAAGACCACTTGTCTGAGACGGCTGCCAGCTTCCTTCGTAAACTCCTAATGTTTGGCCAATGAGTGCTATTGGGTATGTTGGCCTTTTTCTTGACGTTGTTGCGTCGATAGTCCTCGATTATCCTCACGCCATCTGCGAAGGTCTCTCCTTTCGGAATGGCCGCTCGTCGAACGCAGTCTCTCCCGTCTTCGGTGGCCTCCCCAGGGCTTAGCTCCCGTATAAACCCTCGCTGGATCTCATCCTCTATGAGCGCCTCTACCGGGTCGACCACTTCGGGAAGAAGTGTGAGGAACGAATAATATATTTTTGATGTTTTTGTTCGCAGTTGGAGGAATATGTCTGTTTTACTGCTGGGGGATTTCCTTTTTAATGATAGGAATTCACCCGCAATTTCGAGATGATTCACGAGAATAAATGTGTCGAAATTTCCTCCCGCGATTTTCATATTGTTACTAACACTTGTAGTTGACCA